ACCAATAAAAGTAGAAGGTGAAACACACTCTTATTACTCTATCCTCCTTCTGACATAACGACTCCCTACTTTTATCTAGAAACTAACAATTAGTTTGTTCTTCTCTGTTTGCTAACATTCATGTCTTACTACTGCATGTCACTACCTTGGCTTTTGAGGTAAACTGTAATTTGTGATATTGGGCTTTTTAAATCAATGTAGAAAAATTGGTCCACACTTTTGTTACCTCTAGGCTGGATTACTGTAACTCCCTATTATCAGGTAGCTCTAATAAGTCTTTAAAAGCTCCGCAGCAGCACGTGTAATAACAGGAACTAAGAAACGAGATCATACTTTTCCTGTTTTAGTTTCTCTGCACTGGCTCCCTGTAAAATCCAGATTTGAATTTAAAATCCTACTCCTAACTTACAAAGCTCTGAGAACGCAGGGTAACTCGTGGTCCCTAAAGTTACCAAAAGTAGATCAGGAGCCAGAGCCTTCAGCTATCAGGCTCCTCTCCTGTGGAATCATCTTCCTGTTACGGTCCGGGAGGCAGACACCGTCTCCACATTTAAGACTAGACTTAAGACTTTCCTCTTTGATAAAGCTTATAGTTAGGGCTGGCTCAGGCTTGCCCTGTACCAGCCCCTAGTTAGGCTGAGTTAAGGCCCAAACATACAGTACAGGCCAAAAGTTTGGACACACCTTCTCATTCAATGCGTTTTCTTTATTTTCATGACTATTTACATTGTAGATTCTCACTGAAGGCATCAAAACTATGAATGAACACATGTGGAGTTATGTACTTAACAAAAAAAGGTGAAATAACTGAAAACATGTTTTATATTCTAGTTTCTTCAAAATAGCCACCCTTTGCTCTGATTACTGCTTTGCACACTCTTGGCATTCTCTCCATGAGCTTCAAGAGGTAGTCACCTGAAATGGTTTCCACTTCACAGGTGTGCCTTATCAGGGTTAATTAGTGGAATTTCTTGCTTTATCAATGGGGTTGGGACCATCAGTTGTGTTGTGCAGAAGTCAGGTTAATACACAGCCGACAGCCCTATTGGACAACTGTTAAAATTCATATTATGGCAAGAACCAATCAGCTAACTAAAGAAAAACAAGTGGCCATCATTACTTTAAGAAATGAAGGTCAGTCAGTCCGGAAAATTGCAAAAACTTTAAATGTGTCCCCAAGTGGAGTCGCAAAAACCATCAAGCGCTACAACGAAACTGGCACACATGAGGACCGACCCAGGAAAGGAAGACCAAGAGTCACCTCTGCTTCTGAGGATAAGTTCATCCGAGTCACCAGCCTCAGAAATCGCAAGTTAACAGCAGCTCAGATCAGAGACCAGATGAATGCCACACAGAGTTCTAGCAGCAGACCCATCTCTAGAACAACTGTTAAGAGGAGACTGCGCAAATCAGGCCTTCATGGTCAAATAGCTGCTAGGAAACCACTGCTAAGGAGAGGCAACAAGCAGAAGAGATTTGTTTGGGCCAAGAAACACAAGGAATGGACATTAGACCAGTGGAAATCTGTGCTTTGGTCTGATGAGTCCAAATTTGAGATCTTTGGTTCCAACCGCCGTGTCTTTGTGAGACGCAGAAAAGGTGAACGGATGGATTCCACATGCCTGGTTCCCACTGTGAAGCATGGAGGAGGAGGTGTGATGGTGTGGGGGTGTTTTGCTGGTGACACTGTTGGGGATTTATTCAAAATTGAAGGCACACTGAACCAGCATGGCTACCACAGCATCCTGCAGCGACATGCCATCCCATCCGGTTTGCGTTTAGTTGGACGATCATTTATTTTTCAACAGGACAATGACCCCAAACACACCTCCAGGCTGTGTAAGGGCTATTTGACCAAGAAGGAGAGTGATGGAGTGCTGTGGCAGATGACCTGGCCTCCACAGTCACCGGACCTGAACCCAATCCAGATGGTTTGGGGTGAGCTGGACTGCAGAGTGAAGGCAAAGGGGCCAACAAGTGCTAAACACCTCTGGGAACTCCTTCAAGACTGTTGGAAAACCATTTCAGGTGACTACCTCTTGAAGCTCATGGAGAGAATGCCAAGAGTGTGCAAAGCAGTAATCAGAGCAAAGGGTGGCTATTTTGAAGAAACTAGAATATAAAACATGTTTTCAGTTATTTCACCTTTTTTTGTTAAGTACATAACTCCACATGTGTTCATTCATAGTTTTGATGCCTTCAGTGAGAATCTACAATGTAAATAGTCATGAAAATAAAGAAAACGCATTGAATGAGAAGGTGTGTCCAAACTTTTGGCCTGTACTGTACTCGGGCGGAACGTACACGGAGCAGACTCCGCGGAGGTCCGCCCGGACTAAAAGCAGACGTCTGCAAGCCCTGTGCGCGCAAAGCTCAGATCAGACCAGTGTCACACAAAAGACTGCTCGGCATGTGTTTTTCACATCGCAGGGATTTTTCACGGACATTTTTACAGGAAACTACAACGCGGAAGTGTGCTTGACTATGGAAGCCCGAATGACATTCCTCCCGGAGTCTGCTCCGCTTATAGTACACCCGAGTCTGTGAGCACCTTTAGGACTAGTCTGGGGGACCTTCTATAATACACCTTCTCTCTCTCCTTAGTTTCTGAAAAGTTGGGTCTTCTTCACTTGCTAACAGTCATATCCTATTTCTGGATGTCACTAACTCAGCTTCTTCTCCGGAGCCTTTGTGCTCCACTGTCTCGCAGGTTAACTCATATCGCAGCGGTGCCTGGATAGTGTGACGTGGTTGTGTTGCTGTTGTGGTCCTGCCAGATGTCTCCTGCTGCAACTGTTATCATTAGTCATACTTCTACTATTATATACATATGATTATTGTCACATTTGTATACTATCATATATTAATATATACATACAACATATTGTACCACAATTACCATTATTATTATTATTATAATATTATTACTTAAATTAATGTTGTTGTAAGCTACTGTCATTACTGTCTGTCCTGCATCTCTCTCTGTCTCTGTCTCTCTCCTTCTGTCTCATTGTGTCATACGGATTACTGTTAATTTATTATGTTGATCTGTTCTGTACAACATCTATTGCACTCTTTTATTCTGTATTTTTGTTCTATGTTGTCTGTAACTCTGTTGCTGCCTCTCTCGGCCAGGACACTCTTGAAAAAGAGATATTTAATCTCATGAGGTTTTTCTGGTTAAATAAAGGTTAAGTAAAAGATAAAATAAGTATCAGTAAGCAGTCAACCAGACATAAGGTTAATCTTACCAAATCCAGTGGTCTGCAGGTCAAAGAAAACGATGGTTTCAGACATCTGCAAGAATTTAAAGAGACATTTGAACATGAACTAACACACTCTGTATAGTCATGATATTCCTGATAGTACATTAAAATATTCACAACAGTTAGTACTTACAATCTAAGTTTATATTAAAATTAGAAGTAAAGTTATTTTGAACATGATTAGTCGATAAAGAAATAAAAAAGGCTTTACTCACCGTGGACAGTTTGAGGTGCCGTCAACTGAGGTGTGAGAGAGATTTTATCTGAAGTCAACTGGAGTAATCCAGGTTATGTCTACGTCATTTACCGACTCATCCTGAAGAAGTCAAGAAGTGACTCAGTGTCACATCAATTCAAAACCCACACTGAACTCTGGTTTCATTTAAGTGGAAAAGAAACTGGACATTTTTTTCCTTCTTCTACAAAAATCTCCTCCCTGCTCAGTTGTACTGCCCTGCCTGAGCCCTGCTGTTGGTTTAGTTTCAGTTTTGACCCCTTAGCTGATGGAAAGTAAAATGTTGCATATGCGTCATGCAACTTATAAGAATGAAACTTAAGTTAAAAAAAAAACAAACCAAAAAAATATGAATAAACAAACAAAAAAATAGGATAAATACAGAGCTGAAAAGAAACAAGAAGATACAACTTTGAAAATAAATAAATAAACTAGATACTTAGGCATACTTTGTGTCTCCGCAGCTCTGAAGTTGCTCCCCCAGTACATACAGTAGATGTCATGACCGCAGTGGTTTCCAACGTGGGTCACGGTCCACAAGTGGCTCGCACGGCCATTCTGAATGGATGGCAAGTGACTTACAAAGATGTCAAGCTTGTAAAAAAACAAAACAAACAATCTTTAACACTGCCTCTACCAAACACTTTCGGTATGGTACCTTTGGCACCTTAATTTAAGGTTTTTAGTCTTAGTCATAACAAGACTGACCTAGCATAGCAGTTTTGTGTTTATATATGGGGTATTTATTGGAAACCCGGCAATCTCTAGAAGTATTCAGCTTATGTTGGCTGACAGACTCAACAGGGACTAGAAAACGTGTCCATTGCTAGATCGTTACTATGGTTCGACCTACTTGCTGGAGTAGTAAACTAGCCTTCATTACATATAGGAGTCTATTGACGTGACTAATTCTTAATAATTCAGTAATTAATTAAAAATATTGCTTGATTAACTCAGCCTATGCTGCATAGGCTGAGTGAGCAAATCAGTTCTATTTTCAGTATTTATCCTTTCACGATTTTCACTTTATGAACACTGTGATGTTTGTCATGAAGCTCCACTGCTTCCAGGCAAGAGGAGAGATTTTATCTTGTCTGTCATGCACAAAACATCAATACTAAAACTGTTTACAGTATTAAGGGGAGCAGCCAACTCTTTTAATGCATTGACTTCAACTCACAAGGGGCGGCTGTGGCTCAGGAGGCAGCACAGGTTGTCCCCTGATCAGAAGATCGGTGGTGCAAATCTATATATACACCTTTCTTGTCTCATTCTTGATAGCAATCCTCATGTTCCCAAAATGCTGTACAGCAAGAAAAGTCTTCGAGATTTAATTTATTACACGTGTTCACTACTGTAGGTAAAGGCAGGTGCTTTTCAAGCGAAACACAACCTTGTGGCTGCATCTATGCTGGAATAGTAAGGAGAGAGATTTCTCAGTGTGACCGCTGTAACTTGATTCAATACAAATAGATAAAACAAACAAGTTGGCTAGAAAATTCAAATGAAAGTTTAATGATTATTGGGGAGAAATTGTGGTTCAATTTACTGGGAACATTTGTGTGTATGACATGTTACAGAACATTGCACAACAAAACGAAATAATAAAAATCATAATACAGTGAGTAACATGTGAAGGCCTGTGTCCACTTTGCATATTTCCTGGACGCCAGCGTGTTTTTGTAATTGTTCCCAATGAGAAGAGAAAGAGCACCACACCCAGCGTCTTTTTTCAGATTGCTCTGGCTTTTCTGTGCAGTCGCTCCAAGCGCTACTAGTTGTAAATCTATAAACTCCGGTGACTTTAATAAAGCTAGGTTACCATCTACTTTCATGGCAAAGACAGAAAAGCCCATTCGTGAGAGCAGAGTGGCTGAATGCAGCTGCTGCTGCTGCTGCTGGGCTTTTATCACCGTTCACGTTATATGATTGTTAACTGTGTAGTCACACAGCATTACATTAGCTTTCCTAGCTAGCGTTAATGTCAAGATATTGTTGTCATAGCAACAAAACCCACACAAAGAGCATCAATTAAAAAATGCTAGGAGTGCCTTTTTTTAATGAAGCCCTGGGATGAAGCGCTCCCCAGCATCCTGCCACTTCCTTTCTGCAGAAGGAAAAACGCTACGTGGACACAGGCCCTAATGTATGTAACACTGGCCCCTTTGACACTGCCTCTTCAAGGCAGGAATTTCACACTATTATGCCGCCTCACCGTTCTTTATAGAGGCCTAGACACACCAAACCGACATCAGAACTAGTGGCGATTAAATCCGATTGTTGCGTCACCTCATGTCACCTGTGTCTCGACCACATTGCTGCATATGAGCACACCGCAAAGACTACAGCTGACGGCCAACCGGCATGTACACTGTGTGTCTGCGTGAAAGAAAATGACTCTTCATACCAGCAGACGGCTGTAGTCTGTGATCATCATTCAAAAAGGGAAACCGGGAGACCGACATTAACAACACAACCTGATGTAGAAAGATCTAGAGAACAATAACACAATCAATTACGCACTTTTCTGCAAAATACTTTGCGAGTAAAGAAAACAAATCTCACCTAATGTAACAAGTTTGTTTCGATCTCACTCCCCCTTGACTTAAGTTGTTTACTTTCCTCACTTCCGTTTCTCTGTGCGCTGAGCTGAACTGCCAGTCAGAGTGATTTTATTAACCAAGGGGTATCGCTGTCTCCGACGATGATTCAAAATGCTTAATCGGCTGTAAAAAAGCTGACAAGGGCCGATGAGAGCCAATGGTGTGGGACACAACCCAAAGACTATGGCGACAGATGCTCTCCAATGGCCCCACACTGACCATCTGCTTGGTGTGTCAGGGCCTTAAAAAGGTACAATCATGAAATGGAGGGACAGAGTTGTCTCGCCTTTAAGCCGGCATTGGATATAGTAACAGTGCTGTAACAGGGCAGGGCGGAATCATGGTTTTGACGATACGTTGTGTGTGCAACCCACCACAGATTTAACAAATACCTGATAGCAGTTAGCAACTAACTCAAAGAAGAAGATCAGCGGCCGCAAAAAGTCCGCGAATTGGGAAAACAATAAGGTGCGGGAGCTCCTTACCCTCTGAGCAGAGGATGAGATCAGCCGCTGTATAACAGAGACAGTCATTTCAATGTTTTGCTATTGTTATTGTTTATTGCTGCCGACGCATTGTGTCACACTGGAGGCCGATGCTATTGTGTTGCATGTCATGCCTCTGTGACTCCGTGATGATCAACATGCTGTCTAAAATTACACACTGATGTAGCTGCAGTTTTGTGTAAAAATGCAAAAGCAGCATAAAGAATGGACTTCGTAGCAGCTCTATAGTGTGACCTCTGTGTAAAAAGGGCTATAGAGATTGGGATGTAACCTGCATTATTTTTTTTCCGATCACAAGAAATTCAACCTGTCATTTCATTTTTTTCTAAATGTTCAAAATATCTGTTCAACAACCAGAGAGAACATGATGAGAACAAAACTCAGAGTAAAGTAAAGGTCAGTGTTTCAATGGAGTATTTTGTTTTTGTGGCCATTTTTTTGAAGCTCTTGAAAGATTTTGGGGTCATGCAGGTATCTATCAAGACATCCAAACTTTTGAATCCATGAATTGAACAGGTCCTGCAGTGTCCTGGCTTCCTTCGGCCTAGGGATAATGTAGTCTTCTCCCAGGCAGTGCTTGACCAGAGTGTCATGCTGATGATTGGGCAGATCAGGATAGAGCTCCTTGCTTAGTGGGAGTGTATCCACAAACCCAGACACCACCCGCTTGAACTGATGCCAGAGGGAGAATTTTAGCAGCAATCTGGTGAGTATGGGTGCACCAAACCGCTTTGCATTGTGGGCCGCCAGCAGCACGGGACGGCGAGGATGGCCACTGCGACAGGAGCGCAGGAAGTTGATGAAGGAGGTAAGAGCATAAAATACGGCGACGGTATTGACAGGTCTCCCGTTGAGAAACAGGCGGCCATCACTGATGGTGAAACCTGTCAGCTCTGTGGCTCTCTCATCGATGGGGCACCTGGGGAGGATGAATTTCTTAAATTTCCTCTCTCCACAGACAGCAGACAACTGGATGATGTGACACTGCTTACCTGAAAAGCAGAGAAGGGATGGATTAAAGGAGGAAAAGAGAAAAAGAAAATAAGAGATATTTAATTCACGAGAATAAGACAGAGGCAGGGTCACAGTGACCTTGACATTTGATCACCAAAATGTATTCTGTTTATTGTTGAGTCCAAGTGGACGTTTGAGCCAAATTTGAAGAAATTCTTTTTAGACGTTCCTGAGATATGGCATTCACAAGAATAGCTGTGTCCCAATACAGGGGCCATGTCCTTTGAAGACCACATCATCCAAACCGAACGGGTTGAACTGGTCTGTGAAGGATTTCCTGGTTGCATCACCAGTTGTTCTCGCCCAGACCCATTGGCGTTGGTGTTACCTAGCAAGCAGCTGTGCTTTACGAAAGAAGGAGTAAGCTAGTAAGTTGGTTAGCTCTAAATCAGGCATGTCCAAAGTCTGGCCCGGGGGCCAATTGTGGCCCGCAGTCCAATTTTAATCGGCCCTCAGCTTGACTTTCAAAATATACCATTTGTGGCCCTTTACACAATAATGGTTAATGGATTAAGATCACTTCCCATTTTTACCCTTTACCTCACATAAAAGACTATCATACAGTTTGTAGACAGACATCACGTAGTAATAGTTCATTAAAAGATAAAAATGGTTGCATTTGTCTCACTTTTTTTTAAAAACCCATTTGATGTGTGTGTGTGTGTGTGTGTATATACATATATATATATTAGGGGTGACCCCGAATAGTCGATGAATCAGTGATTTGATTCGGAGAAGTCTGATTCGACTGCCAGTCTCGCCGTCGAATCGTCACAAAATGTGGTTATGAAACAAGACCGTGCCATTCTGACTATATGGGGGTGCTCACTGCTGCTGAACATCTTGATTTGACATAGAATGTATTTGTTTTCTAGTAATTCATGATATATAGCCTATTTTGATACAAACATCAGCCTAATTTCTGTTAATAAAAAATTGAAAATGACACGTGCGTTTAATCAGTAGGCATAATCATTACTACGCATGAATAAATCACCCAGTTGCTCGATCCAAATAAGCTGAGGTGAGTGCACCGCAGGATCATCAGAGCAGCATCGAGGCCTACGGTGATTTCTTTTGTTTCTTTAGCAACTTATTGGCTCATAATGTCCACCAAAAAAACGTCTAAAGTGTGGGTGCATTTTGATTTTTTATTTGGATACTTTGCGTGGTGGAGTGCATAAACAAACACTTTGGAGGAGGTATGTGCTGTCAAATCAAACTTTTTTTAAGGATTATTCATTTACCTGAAGTGTCTTGAAACAAAGTTCACCGCTGATTGTTTTCTTGATAGACTCTGATTATTTATTTGGCTACTTTTTGTCCGACGTGGCCAAACAATTGAGAGCGGTGACGCATGGTCCGTGTGGATGAACTTTTATGAACCTGAGTTGATTAATGAAGTAACTTGAAGTCAGAAAGAAGGAAAACTGTTTGTAAACCTTTTGATGATGTTTTTGGATGTTTATTTGTGAATGAAATGGCAAGTTCTGACGAGTCAGAAACGACTCCTGTTAAAGACACGCATGAGGCTGCAGCGCGTCTGCTTGATGAAGTGAAAGGAATAAAGATAAAGATAAAATGATAACCCTTTTACTTTTATTATTGTTATCTTATTACGCCAACTGAAGAATTAAATGTGTTTATTTGGGTGTTTTGGCTCTTTTCTCTGGAGCGGAAACTGACGCAAATGAGCTCATTAATCAATGAGGGGGAAAACAACATGATTCGACGATTAGTTGGCTAAAGGAAAAATCTGTCAAATCAGATTCAACTATGAAAATTCTCAGTCGAGGACTAGGGTTTGGTCGGTATGAGAAAAAAAAAAAAACCCGCATCAAGTCGGTAATACCAGATTTTCGCCACTTGGGGGCACAACTGTTTGTTTTATTCCTTACAAATAAATTTTGCAGCTTACTCAATCAGTGCAAACAAGGGTTGCCTCCTTTGTCTGGC